CCTTTTCTCCTTTGCCTTTCAAGTCTTTTCTTTTCTATTACAAATAGGAGGCTATTTGTATGGTCTCGTCAACCATTTTGCCTTTTGCATTTCTCTTCCTTGGGGATTGTCTTGATCACTGCCTCCTGTACAATGTCACGAACCTCCACCCATAGTTTTTCAGGAACTCTATCAGATCTAATCCCTTGAATCTATTTCTCATTCCAATATATAATCATTAGAGATTTGCTTTAGGTCATATCTGAATGGTTTTCCATTCAGTGGTTTTTCCTACTTTTTTCAATTTAAGTCTGTATTTGGCAATAAAGTGTTCATAGTTTGAGCCACAATCAGCTCCCAGGTGTTTTTGCTGATTGTATAGAGCTCTCCATCTTTGGCTGCAAAGAATATAATCAATCTGATTTCAGTATTGACCATCTTGTGATGTCCCTGTGTAGAGTCTTCTCTTGTGTTGTTGGAAGAGGGTGTTTGCTATGACCAGTGCGTTCTCTAGGCAAAGCTCTGTTAGCCTTTGACCTGCTTATTTTGTACTCCAAGGCCAAATTTGCTTGTTACTCCAGGTATCTCTTGATTTCCTACTTTTGCATTCCAGTCCCCTAAAATGAAAAGGATACCTGTTTTGGGTGTTAGTTCTAGAAGGTCTTGTCGGTCTTCAAAGAACCATTCAGCTTCAGGTTTTTCAGCATTACTGGTTGAGGCATAGACTTGGTTTACTGTGATATTCGGTGGTTTGCCTTGGAAATGAACAGAGCTCATTCTGTCGTTTTTGTGATTGCATCCAAGTACTGCATTTTGGACTCTTTTGTTGACTATGATGGCTACTCCATTTCTTCTAAGGGATTCTTCCCCATGGTAGTAGATATAATGGTCATCTGAGTTAAATTCACCCATTCCAATACATTTTAGTTTGCTGATTCCTAAAATGTTAGTGTTCACTCTTGCCATCTCCTGTTTGACACTTCCAATTTACCGTGATTCATGGACCTAACATTCCAGGTTCCTATGCAATATTGCTCTTTACAGCATCAGAATTTATTTCCATCACCAGGCACATCCACAACTCGGTGTTGTTTTTGCGTTGGCTATGTCTTTTCATTCTTTCTGGAATTATTTCTTCACTGATCTCCAGTAGCATATTGGGCACCTACTGACCTGGGGAGTTCATGTTTCAGTGTCCTATCTTTTTTTTCCCTTTCATATTGTTCATGGGGTTCTCAAGGCAAGAATACTGAAGTGGTTTGCCATTCCCTTCTCCAGTGAAACCACGTTTTGTTGGAACTCTCCGCCTTGTCACATCTGTCTTGGGTGGCCCTACATGGCATGGCTCAAAGTTTCATTGAGTTAGACAAAGCTGTGGTCCACGGGATTAGATTGATTAGTTTTCTGTGATTGTGCTTTTCATTCTGTCTACCCTCTGATGAAGAAGGATGAAAGGCTTATGGAATCTTCCTGATGAGAGAGACTGACTGAGGGGGAAACTGGGTCTTGTTCTGATGGGTGGGACCATGCTCAGTAAATCTTTAATCCAATTTTCTGTTGATGGGTGGGGCTGTGTTCCCCCACCCCCAGTTGTTCAACCTGAGGCCAGACTATGGTGGAGGTAATGAAGATAATGACCACTTGCTTCAGAATGTCCCGGGCACCCACTGCTGCACTCAGTGACCCCAACCCTGTAGCTGACCACCGCCAACTCATGCCTCCACCCGACACTCCTGGCCACTCACAGGCAAGTTGGGTTTGTCTCTTGTGGGGTCACTGCTCCTTTCTCCTGGGTCCTAGTGTGCACAAGGTTTTGTTTGTGCCCTCCAAGAGTCTGTTTCCCCAGTCCTATGTAAGTTCTGGTGGCTCCATTGTAGGATTAATGGTGATCTCCCTCAAGAGGGCTTATGCCATACCCACATCTATTGCATCCAGAGCCCCTGCCCCTGCAGTAGTCCACTGCTGACCCATACCTCTGCAGGAGACACTCAAACACAGTTCTGGCTCAGTCTCTGTGGGGTCTTTGGGTCCTGGTACACACAAGGTTTGTTTGAGCCCTCTGAGTGTCTCTGGCAGGTATGGAGTTTGATTCTAAATGTGATTTTGCCCCTCCTACCATCTTTCTGTGGCTTCTCCTTTGCCCTTGGATGCGGGGTATCTGTTTTTGGTGAGATCCAACATTCTCCTGTCGATGGTTGTTAATCAGTGAGTTGTAATTTTGGAGTTCTCACAGGAGAATATGAGCGCACGTCCTACTCTGCCATCTAGGATGATAATACATTTTGTACCAGGCACAATATGTTATCAAATATTGACTTCTTTTGTTATTCATGCATCTCCATTTTCAGCTCTCAAAAGTCTATCACCCTTCATATTTCAGTATGAAGCCCATTGAGGTCTTGCATGGGTATGAAGCAGTGAAAAAAGCCCTAATTGATCTGGTAGAGGAGTTTTCTGGAAGAGACATTTTGCCTTTGGCTGAAAGATCTAATGAAGGACTTAGTAGATGTTCATGTGTGTGTGTTCAGCATTGGTTCACCCACGGCTGGCTCTGGAGAGGATGGAAGAGAGGATTTTGAAGAATCCCCAAACATACCTTGTTTCATCTCTAAGGTTGCCATGTGTGGCACAGTCTCCCTCCTAGTTTCTGTTTCCTCTCCTGGTAGGAATCATTTTCAGCAATGGGAAGATATGGAAAGAGACCTGGCATTTCTCCCTCCTGACCCTGTGGAATTTTGGGATGGGGAAGAGGAGTCTTGGGGATCGAGTTCAAGAGAAAGCTGGTTGCTTTGTGGAGGAGTTGAGAAAAACCAATGGTGAGTGATGCTATACTCTAACTCTGACCTTAACAGACTACTCACTTCTCCAGTGACGCCCTGGGAAACATTATAGGAATGGCCATATCTTTGCCATGAATAGTGGTTGTCAGCCTTCAGATGGAGGGAATAGGATGTGAAGCGAGGAACCAAGGGAGCTTTTGTGTATCTATGCTTATTGTATGTATACTCCCAAGATTGCACATACTGTGTTGTTATAAAAGGTCATTTATTCATAGTCTCTCCTGGGCTTTATTTTAGTAAAATCAGAAATCACTAAAAAATAGTTTTGAGTCATTTCCTGAAAGGGAGAGCAGTGGTTTTCTTATCTCACAAATATATTGTCTATTCCAGAGCATTTCACCTGGGAATACTTGTTAAGAGGACAAGGTGGGAATGACTTCCTCATATCCTTATGGAGCATGAAAGAACTGTCATATGTATTTGCTTAATTGAACTAAATTTATATGTTCAGCCTCACAGAGAAATTTACTTCCAGGACCCAGGCCTACAGTTCTGGCCTATAGTTCTGCCATCTATGATTTCAGTCCATTAGGAATATCTTCATGCAATTCTCCTTGATCATGAGTTCTCTGTTAAGGCAGCACTTAAAAATACCAGCATTAATTATGTCTTGTTACTCAATACTCACTATATTTATATTTAAAAAATATGTGCTATGTCATAATTCAGCAAAATACACAAAAACCAAGTTATTAATAATAAATGTTTTATTTAACTAGGTTTCAAACTAATCAATACATTTTTACCCTGTCTTCTCTAAGTGAAATTTTACACTATTTTTATGATAAAATTTGCTTCATCTTTATTGTATTTTGATACAAATTTCTGGTAATTATTTACCTCCCACTACCGGGCATATAATGTTCATCACAATGACTCTGATAGGAGCTGCTGAATACACATGCTACTTTTGTTCCATGCCCTACCATTTCTTTACAACATTTAGAAATTTTTGCACTAAAAAACAAACAAACAAGCAAACAAAAAGCACACGTTATCTAGCCTCTTAACATGCTGTTAAGTGTACATGATACTATTCTTAACTATAATCATGCTCTTGTACAGTAGGCCTCTAGACTGTCATCCCTGTATGGCTTATACTCTCTACTCATTGAACTCTCCATTTCCTCTCCCCAAATCCCTGCTAATCAGCATTCTACTTTCTGTTTCTATGAATTTGGCTTACTTTGGTACTTCATGTAAGTGGAATCATACAACATTGGTCCTTTTGTGATCTACTTTTTTCACTTAGCAAAATGTGCTTATGGATCATTCATATTGCAGCATGTGACAAGATCTGTTTCATGTTTATGGCTGAATAATATTTCAGTGTTTGTATTTACACATTTTTAAATTCAGTAATTATTGCGAGATCTTTAGGTTCTTTCCACATCTTGGCTATTGTGAACAGGAAATGAAAATATCTCCGAGATCCCAAATCAGTTCTTTTGAATAAAAACTCTGAGGTGGAATTTCTGGGTAATACAGTAATTTTACTTTTAATTTTTTGAAGAACCTCCATAATCAAAATATGAATGCGAGGGCTTGTCCAACCACAGCATTGGTTATTGATAAGCTGAGGCCAGCATGGAACTTAATGATTAGTGACATTGAGCATCTTTTCAGATACCTATTAACCAGTCTTCTTTATTGTTTTTTAATGAACACAAATTAAAGATACTATTTATTTCATTAATTAGGAAATCAGTTATAATCAGTTGTAACAAGGTGTTCCAAGCGGTTCAGAGAACATGGATGGAAAACTTCAAATTTATTTAGTGTAAAAGAATGTTGATGTGAATGTGCAAATGAAGGCAAATTAACTAGGAAAGTAATTGAATCTGAAAGAACAGAGTTTGTATGTCTATAGACAAGAATTACTTTGCATCAATATCTATTATTGTAAATTTAGAAAGTTGCACAATAGTTCCCATAAAATCACAAAAAGGTGAACTATAGACAATGAATAGTTTTCTGCTGAACTATACATTGTTCCTACACTGTAACTGTAATTACACGTACATATCCAGTTTTTAAAAAAATCAACTTCCTGAATGAGTGTGGTCTGCATTCAATATTTTCTCCCAGTTTTATTGAGATATAATTGATATTGTGTAAGTTTATGGTATACAATATGTTTATTTTATATACTCATATATGCAGATTACCACCTCCATATAGCCTTGTTTAACACCTCCACCGTCTGTTAATTACCCTTTCTTTAGAAAACATATAAAATATAATTTCTTGGCAAATTTCAGTAATGATTATGTTAACTGTAATCATAATGCTGTGCATTAGATCCCCACGCTTGATTCATTTTCTAACTGGGAGTTTGTTCTCTTTAACCAACATCTCGTCATTTCCCTGACCTCCTAGCCCCTGGTAACCACCCTTCTACTTTCTATAAGTTAGTTTTTTTGTTTGTTTGTTTTTTATTCTTTTTTAGATTCCACATATATATTATATCCTGGAGTATTTGTCTTGCCTCTTTGTCTTATTTCACTCAGCTTAATGTGCTCAAGATCCATTCGTGTTGTGACAAATGCAAGGATTTCCTTCCTCTCATGGTTGAATAGTATCCATTGCATCTGTGGATGTATATACAGTTGACATTTGAACAACATGGATTTGAACTCGTGGGTCCACTTATATGTGATTATTTTTCAATCACTTGCTATAGTACTACATGACTCATGCTTGGTTGGATCCTGGAACGTGTAACTGCAGATATGGTGGTCCAACTGTAAAGTTATACATGGACTCATTGACTGTATGGAGGGTCAGTGCCTCATCCCCATGTTGTTCAAGGGTCAACTCCCTTTGTGTGTATGTAGGTATGTGTGTCTGTGTGTGTGTGTGTGTGTGTGTATGTATATATATATATATATATATATATATATATATATATATATTTCTTTATCCATTAAACAGTTGATGGACACTTAATTTCCATATGTTGTGTACTGTGAATATATATCAGTTTACATTCACTCCAACAGTGCATAAGTGTTCCATTTTCTCCACATCATAAGCAACCCTTATCTCTTGACTTTCTGGTGGTAGCCATTCTATCAATGGCTTCCCTACTAGCTCAAATGATAAAAAATCTGCCTGCAATGCAGGAGACCTGTGTTAGAAGCCTGGGTCAGGAAGAGGCCCTGGAGAAGGGAATGGCAACCCACTCCACTATTCTTGCCTGGAGAATTCCATGGACAGATGATCCTGGAAATCTATAGTCCATGGGGGTCACAAAGAGCCAGACACTTCTGAGCAACTAACACTTTCATCCTATCAATAACACGCATTTTTTGATTTTGATCTGATTTTCCTGACAACTGGTAATATTGAGAACCTTTATATGCACTTGTTGGCCATCTGAGTGTCTTTTTGGGAAAATATCTATTCAGTTCCTCTGCCCATTTTTAATCAGGTTGTTATTCTTTTTACTGAGTTGTATGAGTTCTCTACATAGTTTGGCTATTAACACTTCATAAGATGCATGGTTTGCAAATATTTTCTCACATTTTATAGGTTGCCTTTAATATTTAATTTGTTGTTCAGTAAGGCTTTTGCAGTACTTTGTGTTTTACATTTTATTACTTATTTAAATGTACTGGGTATGTATCCAAATGCTGTTGCTGTATTTTTATTTTATTTATTTACTTTTTAATTAATTAATTTTTTTTACATAACAATATTGTATTGGTTTTGCCATACATTGACTTGAATCTACCATGGGTGTACATGTGTTCCCCATCCTGAACCCCCCTCCCACCTCCCTCCCCATCCCATCCCTCTGGATCACCCCAGTGCACCAGCCCCGAGCACCCTGTATTATGCATCAAACCTGGACTGGTGGTCCATTTCACATATGATAATTTACATGTTTCAATGTCATTCTCCCATATCATCCCTCTTTCACCCTCTCCCACAGAGTCCAAAAGACTGTTCAATACATCTGTGTCTTTTTTGCTGTCTCGCATACAGGGTTATTGTTACCATCTTTCTAAATTCCATATATATGTGTTAGTATACAGTACTGGTGTTTTTCTTTCTGGCTTACTTCACTCTGTATAATGGGCTCCAGTTTCATCCACCTCATTAGAACTGATTCAAATGCATTCTTTTTAATGGCTGCGTAATATTCCATTGTCTATATGTACCACTGCTTTCTTATCCATTCGTCTGCTGATGGACATCTAGGTTGCTTCCATGTCCTGGCTATGATAAACAGTGCTGCGATGAACATAGGGGTACACTTGTCTCTTTCAATTCTGGTTTCCTCAGTATGAATGCCCAGCAGTGGGATTTCTGGGTCATATGGTAGTTATATTTCCAGTTTTTTAAGAAATCTCCACACTGTTCTCCATAGCGGCTGTACTAGTTTGCATTCCCACCAACAGTGTAAGAGGATTCCCTTTTCTGCACACCCTCTCCAGCATTTATTGCTTGTAGACATTTTGATAGCAGCCATTCTGACTGGCCTGACACGGTACTGCATTGTGGTTTTCATTTGCATTTCTCTGATAATGAGTGATGTTGAACATATTTTCATGTGTTTGTTAGCCATCTGTATGTCTTCTTTGGAGAAATGTCTGTTTAGTTCTTTGGCCCACTTTTTGATTGGGTCATTTATTTTTCTGGAATTGAGCTGCAGGAGTTGCTTCTATATTTTTGAGATTAATCCCTTGTCATTTGCTTTGTTTGCTATTATTTTCTCCCAATCTGAAGGCTGTCTTTTCACCTTGCTTATAGTTTCTTTCATTGTGCAGAAGCTTTTGATTTTATTTAGGTCCCATTTGTTTATTTTTGCTTTCATTTCCAATATTCTGGGAGGTGGGTCATAGAGGATCCTGCTGTGGTTTATGTCAGAGAGTGATTTGCCTATGTTTTCCTCTAGGAGATTTATGGTTTCTGGGCTTACATTTAGATCTTTAATCGGTTTTGAGTTTATTTTTGTGCATGCTGTTAGAAAGTGTTCTAGTTTCATTCTTTTACAAGTGGTTGACCAGTTTTCCCAGCACCACTTGTTAAAGAGATTGTCTTTTCTCCATTGTATATTCTTGCCTGTTTGTCAAAGATAAGGTGTCTGTTGGTGTGTGATTTATCTTTGGGCTTTCTATTTTGTTCCATTGATCTATATTTCTGTCTTTGTGCCAGTACCATACTGTCTTGATGACTGTAATTTTGTAGTATAGTCTGAAGTCAGACAGGTTGACTCCTCCAGTTCTATTCTTCTTTCTCAAGATTGCTTTGGCTATTCAAGATATTTTGTATTTCCATACAAATTGTGAAATTATTTGTTCTAGTTCTGTGAAAAATACTGTTGGTAGCTTGATAGGGTTTGCATTGAATCAATAAATTGCTTTGGGTAGTATGCTCATTTTCCACTATATTGATTCTTCATATCCATTAACACAGTATATTTCTCCATCTATTTGTGTCATCTTTGATTTATTTCACCAGTGTTTTATAGTTTTCTATATATAGGTCTTTTGTTTCTTTAGGTAGATATATTCCTAAGTATTTTATTCTTTTCACTGAAATGGTGAATGGTATTGTTTCCTTAATTTCTCTTTCCATTTTTTCATTGTTAGTGTATGGGAGGGGTGATCGGGGTGGGGAATATATGTAAATCCATGAAATGCAAGGGATTTCTGTGTGCTGATTTTATATCCTGCAACTTTACTATATTCATTGATTAGCTCTAGTAATTTTCTGGTGGAGTCTTCAGGGTTTTCTATGCAGAGGATCATGTCATCTGCAAACAGTGAGAGTTATACTTCTTCTTTTCCAATCTGGATGCCTTTAATTTCTTTTTCTGCTCTGATTGCTGTGGTCAAAACTTCCAAAACTGTGTTGAATAGTAGTGGTGAGAGTGGGTACCCTTCTATTGTTCCTGACTTTAGGGGAAATTCTTTCAATTTTTCACCATTGAGGATAATGTTTGCTGAAGGTTTGTCATATATAACTTTTACTATGTTCCTCCTATTCCTGTTTCTGGAGGGGTTTTTTTTTATTATTATTATAAATGGAAGTTGAATTTTGTCAAAGGCTTTCTCTGCATCTATTGAGATAATCATGTGATTTGTATTTTTCAATTTAATGTTAATGTGGTGTATCACATTGATTGTTTTGTGGATATTGAAGAATCCTTGCATCCCTGGGACAAAGCCCACTTGTTCATGATGTATGATCGTTTTAATATGTTGTTGGATTCTGTTTGCTAGAATTCTGTTAAGGATTTTTGCATGTATGTTCATCAGTGATATTGGCCTGTAGTTTTCTTTTTTTGTGGCATCTTTGTCTGGTTTTGGTATTAGGGTGATGGTGGCCTCATAGAATGAGTTCAGAAGTTTACCTTCCTCTGCAATTTTCCGAAAGAGTTTGAATTAGGATAGGTGTTAGCTCTTCTCTAAATTTTTGGTAGAATTCAGCTGTGAAGCCATCTGGTCCTGGGCTTTTGTTTGCTGGAAGACTTCTGATTACAGTTTCAATTCCCATGCTTCCATGATGGGTCTGTTAAGATTTTCTATTTCTTTCTGGTTCAGTTTTGGAAAGTTGTAGTTTTTAAGAATTTGTCCATTTCTTCCAAGTTGTCCATTTTATTTGCATATACTTGCTGATAATAGTCTCATGATCCTTTGTATTTCTGTGTTGTCTGTTGTGATCTCTCCATTTTCATTTCTAATTTTATTGATTTGCTTCTTCTCCCTTTGTTTCGTGATGAGTCTGGCTAATGGTTTGTCAATTTTATTTATCTTCTCAAAGAACCAGCTTTTGGCTTTGTTGGTTTTTGCTATGGTCTCTTTTGTTTCTTTTGCACTTATTTCTGCCTTAATTTTTAAGATTTTTTTCCTTCTACTAACCCTGGGGTTCTTCATTTCTTCCTTTTCTAGTTCCTTTAGGTGTAGAGTTAGGTTATTTATTTGACTTTTTTCTTATTTCTTGAGGTAAGCCTGTATTGCTATGAACCTTCCCCTTATCACTGTTCTTATAGTGTCCCATAGGTTTTGGGTTGTTGTATTTTCATTTTTATTCATTTCTATACCTATTTTGATTTCTTCTGTGATTTGTTCGTTATCCAGCAATGTATTGTTCAGCCTGCCTATGTTGGGATTTTTAGTAGTTTCTCTCCTACAATTGGCATCTAATCTTACTGCTTTGTCATCAGAAAAGATGCTTGGAATGATATCAATTTTTTTGAATTTACCTAGGCTAGATTTATGCCCCAGGATGTGATCTACCCTGGAGAAACTTCCGTGTGTGCTTGAGAAAAAGGTGAAATTCATTGTTTG